GTTTGTACCCCTCTCTGCTGACACATGATCCCAGGTCTCAGCAAATCTCCCCCCAAAGTGTTTCTGGGTTCCTCAGAATGTTTGTATTTGTTTTTGAGCTCTCTCTGTGTGGGGGGTGGCCACTTTCCATCTGCATTGTAGTCTTCTCAGCCTTTGTTGCAGCTTCTCTGGGAGAAGGCTGCCTTGCCCCAGGCACTGTTTCCGGGCCCAGGGTTCCCTAAACTTCAGAGCCTTAGAGGTGTTCAAACATCCTTGCATATTTTTCAGTCTGAGGGCAGGAGCCTGGGACTAGTCTGCACAAATGAGGTGTGCGTTCCTTTCTCCACAAGATCAGACCCAGTCACCGGGGCCAGGTTGGCAACTGGATTCCTTTTTCTGGTTTTCCCTTCAGCCTGAGCTTCAGATATCTGAACTAAAGATTTCTGTGGGATCTTTTCCTTGATGCAAATCGTTCCTATGAGTAGGTGCGTAGGAACTCTCTCTACCCCACTTCTAGTTGTCCAGACTCCAGGTAGGTTTGTTCAGCATCTGCTCCAGGGGAAAAGGGGAAAATTGTGATTGATTGACTAATTGTGTTGCCCAGGCATGAATCAGTGATATATATATCTCTAAGATACATTTATGGATTCTGGAAAGATAACTGTTGAGTCAATGTATTCAGTGATGAATTATTGACCTTCTCTAAAGCCTTAGAATTAAGAAGATATCTTAGAGCCCTAGAGATCTAATAATGACACGTGTTCTTCTGAGGAGGAAAGGGATTAGATATAGGATGCACTTAGGCTGTGAGTACATGGGTAGCTTAAGTCCTATTTCTTAGGCAAAATCTTTGTATTCAAATCCAGCATTAATTACTTGTGATGAGAAAAGCGTATGCAGACTGGCATGTAGATAGACTGCACTCTATCCCATTTTATATTACCCTAAATTAAAAAAAAAACACAACTATGTAAAGCTTAAATTTTATGCAGTGGCCCAGCACAGTGTTTCGTCACAAAGTAGTAGTGTAAGCTTCTTTTAAAGCAGATTGATGAATAAGTGAACACCTTTTTCAGATTTTCAAGAATGAAAATATTTCAAATCCTTTAAAGAGTAACACCTTAGTAGTAGGCACGTGACCTCTATGAAGGGATGTAGTATTTCTACTCTAGTCACCTTCTTAGATCACAGGTACATTTTTAGGAAGCTTAGAAGACTTAAACTTTAAAGTCAAACTTACTTAATTTCATTTTTCACAGGAAGTCTAACACTTAGATCATTATAAGCTTCCAAAGGACAGAATTTTTGTATGTTTTCTCAAGCATATAGAACACTGTCACAGTAGGCACTCAATAAGTATTTGTTGAATGAATGAATGAATGAATGAATGTTGTTCCTGTTAGAAAACACATGATTGCATTGGTTTAAATGAATTCATTATGTAAGAACTTTATGCTTGCAGTAAATTGTTAAAGGAGGTAGTATTGTTTCTCATACTCTAAAGAGCCTCAAATGAACATTCTGGATGGTTGGAACCCAACTCTCAGCATCTTTTGGCTGTCCAGTAAAAAGAAGTTAGGAAGGGGAACAATGGCTACTCTAGATATTTAGTTAGGGGTTCGCAGATGTGATGGAAAGGTAACAGTAACTTTTAGAAAGCAAGTGTTGGAAATAGTACAGTTGATATTTAAATAATATCAACAGGGAATGGTGGCATTAGGGATGCCACACCAATGCATAGTTAAAAACTCATGTATCACTTCTGACTTGCCAAAAATGGAACTCCTAATAGCCTACTGTTGACCGGAAGCCTTACTGATAATGTTATACATATTTTATATATGTATTATATGTTGTATTCTTATACTAAAATAAGCTAGAGAAAGGAAAGTGTTAATAAGACAATCATAAGAGAACATATATTTGCTATCTATAAGTGGAGATGGATCATTATAAAGGTCTTCGTTCTTGTCTTCATACTGAGTAGGCTGAGGAGGAAGGGAAGAGATTGGTCTTGCTGTCTCAGGGGTGGCAGAGACAGAAGAGGTGAAGGAGGTGGAAGGGGAAGCAGGAGACGCAGCACAACTCGTTGTAACTTTATTGGAAAAAATTCACAGGTAAGTGGACCCGTGCAGTTCGAACCTGTGTTGTTTAAGGGTCGACTATATTATTATATTACTAAACTCCTTCTCTTCCATTGGGGAGTGAGCCTATTTCTTCCAAATTTACTGTGTTTACTGTAGAAAAAATTTGTTTGTTTTTGAAACTACAAATCTCTGATTCTATCCAAGGCAGAAAAGCGGGGCTGATGGTTAGAGCACGTGCCTGGACTTGGGAGTCACAGTGTCTGGGTTCAAATCCATGCTTCACCATTTGCTGGCTTACATGTCTTAGGGCAAGGTTTTTAGCCTCTGCCAAAGTTCTTTCATCTGAAAATAATGCTAATAATAGTACCTACCTCCCAGGGTTGTTGTTGTGAGCATTAAATGTGCTAATATGTAAGTGCTTGGAATGTGACTGGAACAAAGAGGGGGCTAAATATTTGCTATTTTTATTATTACAATTATCAAAGCAAATTGAAGAATATAATATGCTTGATAGAAATTTATTTTTAAAAAATCACTTTGCAGGAAATACTTTTTTTTTTCTAAAGCAATGGTTACTTTCATATTTGTTTAGTTTCCATGTATGCAATATACCATCCCCAGACATTTTGGAGGCACTGTTTAGTTCCTAGACCCTCACACCGTGAATTACATGTCTTCACTTTTGCTGAGCTGTTAAGCTTCATTGTGAAGGATACAGCACTCCTAATCACCCAAGGTGCTGAATAGTTGAGACCCAGGCAGGCCAAGAACTTTGAAGCTATGTGACTCTCACCTGACATAATAATCTGCTTTGCCAGATGCAAATATTCTGTTCTCACCTGCCTGTTCCCCCATTTTGATCTCTCTGCCTACTTTTTTCATATGCATTTTTTCCCTCTGGCTTCTTTAATAATATTAGCACTTCAAAAATGGACAATACTTTGCCGTTTTCAAATCATTTTCATATACCATTATCTCATTTGTTCTTTACAGCAGCTCTACGTGAGAAAGGTAGATTTCTCAGTTTTTGATCAATCCATATGTTGTTTTTTCCTTACTTCCTTCCTTATCCTTGAGACCACAGTCCATCATTTAAATAATATTTTGGACAATGTCCTAAGCTTGTTTGCTTCTCTGCTATTTTATCATCCTCTCTAGTAAAATCCTAACCCTGAATGAAAACATATTCCATGTCTGAGCAACCAGGCCCTGCAGTAACAATTTGTTCGCACTGTAAATTTGTTATCACTCCATCAAACATACCTTCAGCACAGCTTGGCAATCCTCTGTTTTTCTCATAAGTTTATTCTCCATTTCCATGACTATTCCCACATTACCCATTCTGTTCAATATTTTGACTCTACTCATGAACCCCACCTTGGGCATGACCTCAGTGCTGCTTTGACACGAGCCATTACTTATGTCCTCATCACCATTACTGCAAACCTATGGCTATCTGTGACAATTGCATCTTCCTTTCTTTCTGCTATGTAGGGAAACTGCTTTTCTTTATATCTTAGGCCATGTCTTCCATCTATTCTTTTGATCTCTTCACATTTACACTGTCATTCATTCCTTTTCTCTTGCCTGGATTGTTCTCAATACCTTTTAAACAGGCTTACATTAAAACAAACAAACAACAACAACAAAAAACCCCACCAAAACTGAAATAAAAACCCCTCAGTGCACCATCTCTGTCCTGCTATTGTCTATTGCAAATGAGTTTAATGCACATGGAAGTATTCCAGAAAATGTAAAACTTAAAAAAAAAAAGAAAGAAAAAAGAGAGAAGAAAAAAAAGAAAAACTTTGTAGATTTTCAAGAGTCAAGATATTTGGTGAAGCCGGGCTCAGTGGCTCAGCCTGTAATCCCGCGCCTTTGGGAGGCTGAGGTGAGTGGATTGCCTGAGCCCACGGGTTCGAGACCTGCCTGGGCAACTTGACGAGACCTCATCTCTACAATAAATCAAAAATTAGCCGGGTGTGGTAGCGCGCGCCTGTAGTTCCAGCTACTTGGAAGACTGAGGCGGAAGGATTGCCGGAGCCCAGCAGGTCGAGGATATGGTGGCCAGGAGCGGCCACTGCACTCCAGTCTGGGCGACAGAGTGAGACTTCAACTCAAAAAAAAAAAAGATATTTGGTGATATTAATGTACAAAATGATGTAGTCCCCAACAAGGGCAACTGGAATTTGCTTTCTGAACAGAAAGAGGAGGAGGGGGTGAATCAGTAAACTCCAGTACAACTAGCAAATCGTCACCGAAATTTGATCTACCTGCTCTGTAGTTTGTGGTCAGACTGACTGCTCTACCACCATCATCAAATCAAAATGAATGAAAAAATACTAAAAAAGGCGTTTGTTCCTAATGACATTTTATTGAGGAAAATGTAACACGAACAGAAAAATTTCTAACTTTGAGTTGCAGAGTCGTTTTTCAATCCTCTGGTCCTTCACTGTCGCCAGTGAGTAGTAGTGGTATATAGGAAGAGACAGTGATGGGAGGATGCAGGTATCATTAATGATCAACCTAACAATAAAACTCGAACACAGTCTTTAAAGATGAGCAATCATGGATTGCCTGAGCCCGCGGGTTCGAGACCCGCCTGGGCAACTTGGCGAGACCTCATCTCTACGATAAATCAAAAATTAGCTGGGCGTGGTAGTGTGCGCCTGTAGTTCCAGCTACTTGGAAGGCTGAGGCGGAAGGATTGCCAAAGCCCAGCAGGTCGAGGCTGCGGTGGCTGGGAGTGGCCACTGCACTCCAGTCTGGGTGACAGAGTGAGACTCCGACTTAAAAAAAAAACACAAAACAAAACAAAACAAAAAACAAAAAAAAGAGATGAGCATTCATCGTGGACAAGAAGAACCATCTGCTTAAGAAGTTTCTGCAGAGTAGTTTCACTTCATGAGATTAGACTGACGCCCCTTTTTTCTTTTAATATGCAGGAGGATGTGGTGGGTAGCCGACATTTCTGGGAGGAACCAGTTCTGGTGGCAAGGGGTTGTTTGAATATGCATTTGGAACGATGAGGACAGCCTGGAAAGAATGAATAAACACAAGCAATATTGTCACTACAATCCTACTTATTTTCCCCTGGTCCCATCAGAGTCAAAAATAAAGAGCACTCTGGTAAGCACATAATGAAATTTAGCAGACACAAGCCTGTATTTCTCCAACACATGTTCAGATTATTTTACAGTTGATTAACTTACCGTGTTGGTGTTGGTGATAGTTTGGTTGGCAAAATGGGCTGTGGTACAGGCTATGGAGAGTTCCAAGAGGGAGAAAAGAAACAAAATGGCTGAAATGCCTTTTCCAGAAAGCTGAAATCAGAAATAAACATAGTAAAATTTTGGCTAGTCAAGAGGGCTTCAAAAAGAACACATTTGACTCATCAACTCACGCCATGACTATTGTGTATATTCCACTCATGCTATGATTATTCCTCCATTATCACCAGATGCTTATTTCAGGGGAGTATGAATTTATTTTGGATTTTCTTTAAAATGCCAGAAGACTTTCCTTTTGCCAGTAGGACTATTTAATTTAGAATATTAGAAAGGGGGTCTTTTATTTTTTTCTTTGCAATGGACTTGTTTTTATAAAATTTAACTATTCACTAAAAAAAAAAAGAAAAGAAAAAATTAAAGCAATATGAAAACCAACTAATCATGCCAAATGCCACTGCTGAGAAATAACCAAAGTCTACATTTGTTAACTTCTATTCTTGATCTCTATATATAGGCAAAAGGCAAATATAAAAATGGATGTCTGGAGAGGCAGCATGAGAGGAGATGGAAAAAAAAAAAAAAAAAAGAAGAGCATGACCAAGAGAGAGGAATATTATTCTCTAAGACTCTAAGAATGGAATCACGTTATTCCTATTTTGAAATAAGATATTACGTTTAATTGAACTCTCTATAGGTCTTCTATTTGATTGGATATCATGTATAATTTTCCTTGATTCACACTTCCACTTATCTGGGTCCAATTTGTCTTCCTTGTTTCCATCTGCGGCTTGAGTTCTAGATAACTGTTTTAGGTCCATTTTTCTGAATGTTAATCATGAGGTTGTTTTAGGGAAAAGGAGAGCTTAGCTGACACCGAGCACGTTTCTTGCTAGTGAACATGAACTTTGCTTTCTCTTCCCTCTGAGAGTCTGCTGAATGCCTGGTAGGAAGACCTGCTTGAAGGCAGGAGGGATATTGTATTCCTGTGGGTTTCTGCTCATTTCCCTACTGGAGCAAGGTGCATTGAGAGATGGGGCCTTTCCTACTTCTCCTGAGGTCCTGGGGTACCACCCCCAGGCTTCTGTATCCTGGATACAGAAGTACAATACAGGAATTGCTGTATCCTTGCTCAGAATTGACTGTTTTCCACCTCAGACTTCTTAGCCCTTGATTGGAGAGTGTTAGTGAGACTAAGTAGTTTTTGACTTTCCTTCTTTCCTCAGTTTTGTTTCTGTGAAAACAAGAGCCACTGCTAGGTGTTGTGCTTTTTTCTGCCACCTCGAACCACATCAGAGTGATGTGTTTCTCTACTTGGTTGCCAGCTTTAGAGCTGTTTTTTTGAATAATTTTTGTTCTTGTCTTGGTAGTTTGGAGAATGAGCTTTGTTCTTGCTTCACCAAGAGTCCCTCATCTATTCTTGCCTCCTTAAAAGCTTTTCAACTTACACTGCAGAGTTGTTCTTTAAAGCACAAATGTGATCGTTCCAGTTCCTTGCTTAAAATGCTTCTGTGCTGTTCACAAAGGAGGATTGTTTCAGAGCCTTGTGGAAAAAGAGTATGCCACCTACTTGAAACTATTGACACTTGAAAGAACAGACTCCTGGGTACAGATGTCTGATGGCATTGCTTAGACAACATTCAGGTCATACCAGCAGTTGGAGTCAGGACTCTAGAACCATTAGGTTGAGAAGCAGATGGTTTCAGAAGACTGATGCTCCACGACCCAGTGGAACAGATTTACTTACATGGTACTGAATGACCTGATAAGGGCATGTTATTGTGGCTATTTGTTCAAAGTATTATTGATACTGCCTTAATGTTCTGTTTTCTGGACATATAGGAGAGTCATTCTATTAAGATATATGTAGCCCACCACAATTTAATAGTCTTATTTTTTTTTAACTGGGAAAAAAACTTAAGAAACCAGACAAACAAACAAAAAATAAATCCTCTTCTGTGACTTTCCTTTTCTCCCAGAATGAAGACCCAAATCCATAACATGGCCACTGAGGTAGGATGACACCTTCCAGTCCAATCTCGTTTTATACTGTGTTTTTCCATTCCTTACAGATGGTGAGCATTTCAGCCCTCAGATGACCCATTTCCTCTTAAGGTCAGAGCCCATGCTTGCCCTATAGAATGATGAAACGTAGATGATTCTGTTATGAGCACATTCGGAGGCATATGCTTCTTTGCAATGCTTTCTTTTTTTAGGATTTCTCTTGTAAAAATTGGATGTTCTTGTTACTGGCATTTCTTCTGAACACATCCTTTCTCTAAAACAAAGAAGCTATTCAATAACTTGACTATCTTATGTATCTAGAATATAAATCTTTGGAAAATAATGTATGGGCAATCCTAGGGGTCTTGGAGGCTTATCTAAACCATTCCCTATTGTTGATGTGATTGACAGTGAGATAGACCAATGAGGGATGTCCTTTCTGCCTTATTTGTAGTGGTAGGTAACTCTCTTACTTATTTCTATAGTCCTAGAGATCATATGACTAGGGGTAGGGCTGGAATAGAAAAAGATATTCCACTAGGGATGTAAGAAGAGATAAGAGATAAAAAGTAGACCTATTCTATGGGCAGAAAAGAGAACAGGCACACGATAGACTATAAGATCCTTACCACCGCCCAGTAGACTTGGTAGTATGTGCCATTGATGCTCATATCCACCACCAACAGAATCACTCCAATGATGGCAAAGATGGAACTAACAATATTCATTCCCAGGCTGCCTTTTATCTAATGGAGGTGGCAAAAAAAAAAAAAAAACAAAAACACATCAATTATATGTATGATCAATGAAATTAAATGAAATAAGAATCAATCAGATGTAATGTTCTTAATTTTTGAAATCTTGAAACAATATCTTGAGTTCTGTTACTATTATGTCGTTACAATAAAAATTACTCTATGTGCAGCCTAGACACAGAACACTTCTAAAAAGGTGTAGAAAAATGTAAATAATACAAAGCAGGTACTCATCCACTGTATTTATCTAAAAGCCTTATGCACAAAAATGACTATATTTTATTTATGAACACAATCAAGGAACAAATAAACTCTTAATGAGCACTTTTCTGTGACAGCGTGTTTAATTATTTAAGTTATCTCATTGAACTCTTACAGCCATTGTATGAGGTAGTAGAGCATCTGGTTTTATCAATGGGACAGTATATAGAAACAAAATTTTGTTGATAAGTTTAGGGATTAATGAAAGTCCTTAAGTCTCTCCAGGGACTAGGTAATGAACCCCAAATTTAGAAAAAAGAAACTCTTGGGGCTTTTGTGGGTAGGGGTATCTTTCCCCAGTTCCTGAGACAGAATTTCGACACACAAAAACCAAGTCCTCCACTGACCTCCTGGGGTGGCACAGTTAGAGTTCTTTGAGTTCTGCAGCACGCCTTAGAGTCTCCTGGAGAGCTCTACAAGGCTCTTTGAAAAATCGTCTTCTCCAAAAGGACAGTCAATACTTGGACAGTCTCAGCGGGAAGGACCCATAAAGGATGCATTGAAAGGGTGCTTTATTTTGTTTTGGGATGACAACAGGAGTAGTTAATTGTAATTAGGCTGATTTTATTTTATTTTAAATTAGCTTGATTTAATTATTTTTGTTTGGAAGAGCATGAACCACACAATTCTATGTTCTCATTTCCTCATTCTTCCCTCTTGTGATGGATAATTACATATAATCTTGAAACCATCTCTGTACTAGTTGGTTCTAGTCCTTGGCAAATCATTTTCTTCTTCCTGGTTTCTATGGTAGACCAGGAAATTGCAGTAGGTGGGGTGGAGTGACTAAGAATTGAAAGCCCTGTTTTGGTGATCATTATGATAAATTCTCATGGAATGAGCTGGATGCTTTTAATGGTGATTGAAAGAGTTGTTAGACAAAACCTCCATCTGAATAAAAACAGGAGAAATTCACAAGTTAAAAATACAAGGCAGAGCTGAAAAACGGCAAATGAACCTTAGAGACTGTAACTGAAGTGGCAAGTGGGTGTTTACTGCCTCCTGGAGCCTTCTCAGACTTGACTTAAAGCGATATGACCCAGCCGAACCAGCTTTTAGGTTAAAGCTTAAGCAATCCTGGTCTTTATTACTTCCTGCTCTTTTGAGTTCAAGAGTCAGGATATGGACCTCTGCCCTTTCTTGAAGGCAAATGGTGTGGCCCATTCCCCCACCCCAGCACACAGCCCGTGGGACAACCAGGAGATCTTTGGGAAACGTGCTCCTATTCTCATTTCCTAAATCCAACTTTTCAACTTCCCTTCCCCAATAAATTAAACTAATTTTTAGAGGGGTTTAAAAAATAGAAACATTCTGACTTACCAGACAAAGAGAAAACTCCTTGGATGCTGATACACAAAGAGAGCCAGAAATAATGAACTGTGGAGACAGAAATAATGTGAAATGACAGATTCACTGGTTGTGCCTGGGAACTTCTCTTTATGTGAAAGGTTGGTCTATTTATATTAATCTAATTTCCCTCTCAACATTTTCTCTCATACTTAATTTTCTGAAGTTACTCTTAGGCATATGCCCTGACTTTTTTTCTCTTTAGTTTCTTGACTATAAAGAACTCATTCTTGTTTAAGCTGTCCTCATTCTGATACTGCTCAGTGTCTTCTCATAATCAATTGTGTGTGTGTGTGTGTGTGTGTGTGTGTGTGTGTGTGTGTGTGTGTGTGTGTTTACTTTTTTTTCCCTTAGAGATTCAGGTCTTGCCATATTGTCCAGGCTGGTCTTGAACACCTGAGCTCAAGTGATCCTCCTGACTCAGCCTCCCAAGGAGTTGGGACTACAGGCATGCACCACCCTGCCCAGCTCCGTTGCATACTTTTAATCATGTTTCCAGTTCCCTCCCTTTGTCACTTTCTACCCAACAACTCCATCTTCATCTAAAATGTAATAGGCAACTAAAACGTTGGCTTGCTGATCACTGGATCAGTGTAAACTTTCAAGTATGGGCTTAAGCTCCTAATTAAACTGGGGTGTAAGTTCTTCACTTTTGACACCCAATTAAGATCTGTTATTTTTCTGAATGCTCCAGCCTTCAGATGCAGGGCTTATCAATAAATGAGTTGTAAAGAGGCTGGAGACATCTATACTTTATAAACCGGGAAGGAGAGGAGTTCCAGCAATCTACTCACAGAGAGGCCACCCCAGAATGGATATCCACCAAGAAAAGCAGTGGAGGCAAAACCCAAGCTTTGTCCAATAGAGAAGCTTAGTAAACCCAAAATAATTCCAAAGCCAATGTGCATCAGCCCAATCACGATCTGGATTGCCTGGAAAAAGAAAACAGTCATTTAAAAATTACTCCTTCACTTTCAGACCCGTGAAACATTGCTGCTGTGGCTTCTCCTGCTTTTGTGTTGCCAGCTTTGCCAAGATCCATGAGTGTCACTTAGGCTTGCATTAGAAGCAGGAGGCAGGTGGTGGAGATTCTGACATACACTTGAATAACTAGGATGCAAAGGCCTCAGTGGAAGGCCTTGTTTGAGGCACAGTATTTGGGGGAAATGTGTAGGGGCGGCCTAAAGAGAGTGCTTCAGAAAGCGCGCCTGCCTAAGCATGTATTAGCATCCCCAAGAGCCTCTGAAAGACTCTTAGAAAAGAATGCTTTGATGGTGGCTTCAGTGGCCCTCTTTTTCAGATGGATTAGTTCTCTGCTTGGGTGATTTCAGTTATGGGGAAAGCAATCAGTGAAGAGAAAATCGTTTATTGGGCATGAATTATATGCTTGAGAATGTTCTCAGCACTTCACGTTTATTGTTTCACATAATCCGCCCAGTAACTGGATGGAGACACAAGAGACATAAAGAAATTAGGTGTCCAAGGTCACACAGTTACTTAAGTGCAGATCTGGAAATTCACGGTAGCAAACTGACTCCAGAAATCAAGTCTTAACTATTCAGTAAAACCTTCCCTGAGGCCCAGCTTAGCTCTACCTCTTCTGTGAAGTCTCGCTGATTACACCAGTCAAATTACCCTAAGTTCTTTCTTTCTTTCTAAATTTCTGTTGCATCTCATGATAGGAAACACACCTTATTGCTAGGTTTGGTACTTATTTATATTGTTTTTTTTAATGCAGTGATGAGATCATTTTCTTACCAGTCAAGAGATATATTACTAAAGATAAGGGATACATCTTTTACTTCCTGAAACTTTTCAGCACATCTTCCTTCATCTTAGATAAACACAGATTTCTGAGAAATAACTGCACTAGATTGGTCTAAAAGTTGACTGTAGATTCATAATTTATCTCTTCCCATATTTATATTTTATCTATCCAGAAGACACAAGTACAAAGACTGCTGTGTTTTTTAATTGAATAACTACTAAATACAATTAAATTGAATTAAAATGAGAAACAACTCAGTTTTTATAAATATTTTTCAAAATATTTCAAAAAATATTTCTCAAAAATAAATATTTTTGAGCTTTATCAGAGTCTCAAGAAACTTCATTATTCAAAAACAATTTTATGTTTTTGAATAATGAAGTTTCTTGAGACTCTGATAAAGCTATATATCTTTCTTCCCGAAAAATTACTCTTGCACAGACACACACACACACACACACACACACACACCCCACACTTTTGCATATAGTTTCAGAGGGGTGATGCACGTTTTCTAGCCAATCTCACTTGAAGAACTCCTTTATATTTGGTTTTTACAAGCTCTTCTCTAGAGCAGCAGTTCAGTCATCTGGCTGCAAACTTCCTGTTCTTGTCCTTGCTATCATCCGGATGATGTCACTTAGATCTTGATTCACACTGGTGTTCTTTTCCCCTCCAGTAGCCCTGACTGTACCCTTTACTGATCGCCTACAGGACAGACTTAAAAACTCAGACATGGCCGGGGGTGGTGGCTCACGCTTATAATCCCAGCACTTAGGAAGGCCGAGGTGAGAGGATTGCCTGAGCCCACGAGTTTGAGACCAGCCTGGGAAGCTTGGTGAGACCTCGTCTCTACAATAAATCAAAAAATTAGCTGGGTGTGGTGGTACAGGCCTGTAGTTCCAGCTACTTGGAAGGCTGAGGCAGAAGGATTGCCGGAGCCCAGCTGGTAGAGGCTGCGATGGCCGTGAGCGTGCCACTGCACTCCAACCTGGGTGACCGAGTGAGACTCAAAAAACAAAACAAAACAAAAAACCTCCTCACAACCTTTTAAAGTATTTTGATTATGGTAGTAGGCAGCAAGCTTCAGGGGCTCCTCATTCCACACAGTAAAAGCCAAAGCCTTCTGCTCCCCAGGCCTCAGGTTCTGGCCCCTGCCACGTCTCCACCCTCCCGCCAGCTGCTCTGCCCCTTGCTCGTTCTATTCTGTTTTATTGACCTCCTCCCCATTCTTCAAATATATCACACACATTTCCAACTGAAGACCTTTATACTGGTTGTTCCCTCTTGCTCTGACATCTGCACGGCTTGCTCCTGATGTCATGGCTTTGCTCAAATGTCGTGTCCTGAGGAAAGCCCACCCTGACCAGCTTGAAACTGCCACCTCCTCACTGCCTGGTGCTTCTTACCCTTTTATACTTTTAAAATTCTCTCTGTGTCATTGAGCACATTCTGACACATTGTGTGCATGACTGCCTTACTATGTGTTGGTTTCGTTTCCTCTATTAGGCTGTGAGCTCTGTGAGGGCAGAGATTCTGCCTGCTTCATGCTCTGTGATTTTCTCAATACCTGTGTGGGGATTGGCTGTCTGAAGGGCTGGTTTGTCCCATTTGCTCAGTGGAAGCAGAGAATTTTCTCTATCTGGGAGGAGGAGGATCCCAGGGTTTGCCTCCACAGCTTAGATGGGCTGCTGGAGAGGAACCGATGCTCATTTTTACTTTTCTATAACCTCAAAACTTGAAATAGGTAGTAAGATGACTAGAAGAGTTTCTGGCCCTTAAGGACTCCTGGTATTGTTGGCTGAATGCAGAGAAGTTGGAGCTGCACACAGGGAGAGATGCAATGTAATTCTGTGGAGTTGTATTCGTGGTGTGAACGAGGCATCTGGAAAGTACAGCAAAGGGACTAACAATCCTGCCTAGACAAGTGGAATCTTCCCACAAGTAGGGCACGTTTTGCAATGCTTACAGAAACAAGGTGCTCAGTTCAAATTACCCTTTGTAGAAGTAAGGTGACATTTAGGCCACAGCATCTCCAGGGGTACTGGCGAGAAAGAGGCACAGCTGATGTCCCCTAATTCTTTCACACTCAGCCCTTCCCAAACTGTTCATTTGTAGTTCCTTCCCTTTGAAGACAACCATCAATGTTTGTTTTTTTTTTTTTTAGTTGGAATCCCACTCTGTGGCCCAGGCTGGAGTGCAGTGGCATGCTCACGGCCCCCCAGTGTCGACCTGCTGGGTTCCAGCAATCCTTCCACCTCAGCCTTCTGAGTAGCCAGAACTACAGGCGTGCGCTACCATGCTCGGCTAATTTTTTGATTTTTATTGTACAGAGGTCTTGCCATGTTGCCCAGGCTGGTCTCAAATCCACGGGCTCAGGCAATCCTCTCATCTCAGCCTCCCAAAGCGCTGGAATTGTAGGCTTGAGCCACCACGCCCAGTTGATGTTCATTTTAATGTGAGTTCACCTGCATACAAAAGCCAGGCTTGTAAACATCTCAGAAACAGGATTGTGGTTGTCCAAAAAGTCCTTTGGAGAAGTGAGATCAAGCTAGAGATAGTGGTACTCCTGTCAGACCAGTATTACCAAATCCTTCTGCTAGGGAGGGTCCTCTGTCACCTATTAGATTCTTGCTTGAATCTGAAAGCAAATAACTATGAAGGTAAAATCTATATGCAGATGAATTATTTCTACCTAAAATAAAGAGTTTCCAGAATAACATTTAGAGCTTTTAAATAATTGGATGATATCCTCTTCACCTATATCTTATCAAAATTAAAATTCTGGTAGTAAATAGACTTACCCCTAATGTCTTTGCTTCTTCTTTAAAGTTTATTGCTGCTGTTTGTGTAGATGGGTTTATGGTTTGTGTAGTGGCTTGACCCAGCTGACTGCCAGCAAGAACTCCTGGAGAAGTGATGAAGACAGGCTGACCACCTTGACCTTGATTTCTTGGGTTTACTAAACCCAGAGGCTGTTGAGACCCAGGAGACATAAAATTGCTCGATGGGTAAGGGCTGGGCAAGGCTCCGTATTCTTCAGCGTGGCTTGTTGGCTTGGATGACATTATGTCCTAAGCATTACAAAACATACTGAAATGATACGTTTACCCAGAAAAGAAACAAAATAAAATCTTGTTCAATGTCAACTATCTATGTAAGTGGAAGACAGCGAGTGAGCAGATAATGGGCAACAACAGCTAAGATAAAGATGAATCTCACTTGACTTTGAAATCCTGTACCTCCTATAGTTTGAAGGATGTAAAGGAGGGGGGGATGGGAATACATTTATTTTTCAATTCCATTTGACTTTGTAAACTCTCTCTCTCTCTCTCTCTCTCTCTCTCTCTCTGTGTGTGTGTGTGTATAACCTGAGTGCTATGGTAAGCAGAATAATGCCCATCTATCCCTACCCAACCCAAAGATATCCATACTTTAATCCAGGACTTGTGAACACGTTAGGCTACACGACAAAAGGGAATTAAGGTTGCTAGTTAGCTGGCCTTGAAATAGGCAGATAGTCCTAGATTATGAGGTGGGTCCACTGTGATCACAGGAGTCTGCAAGAGTGAAAGAAGGAGGTAAAAGAAGAGAGTCAGAGAAGGAGAGGTGTTGATGCAAGTAAGGTCAGAGAGATGCCGTGCTGCTGGCTTGATGGGGGAGGGCATCCATGGACCAAGGAACCCAGGTCAAACAAGGAAACAGATTCCTTTCTAGAGCCTTCAGAAGGAAGCATAGCTCTGCTGACATCTTGACCTTAGCCCAGTGAGCTGGTGTTGGACTTTTGACTTAAGACCTGTCATGTGACTTTAATCTACTAGTTTTGTGGTATTTTGTTATAGCAGTAAATAGAAAACCAATAAAAGGACCAATAATACAATTGGCTGGCAAGGAAGACAATTCAAGATTAAAATTATTTTGTTAGTAATTGGAAAAGTAGATATCTCACATGTTGCCACGGAAGTGGATTATCTTGTTCTTTAAGAAAATTTCTTGATCACGCTTTTGTTAAGCCTTGGCCCAATGTGGCTGGGCCATGTTTTCCTAAGCATTGGCTCCTCCCCTACTTTAGGGAGGTGAATCAATCTCAATCTCTCTCTCTCTCTCCCTCCCTCCTTCCCCCTCCCTCCCTCTCTCTTTCTTTCTCTCTCTCTTGAGATTTCTTATTCATTTGTATTTTTCTGGAAGCCTAGAGCATCTCAGGCCCCATGTGGCCAAGGGAAATTTTGTTGGAAAAAACCAGCACACTAGATGTAGACATCCTTGAAAAAGTAATGGCACTTAAAATATTTGTTTTCCGAAGTGGGAGGTATCACACTCCCAGAATTTAAACTTTATTATAAAGTTACAATAATCAAAACAGCGTAATATTGGTATGAGAACAGGCATATAGACCAATGGAACAGGATAGAGATTCCAGAAGCAAAGCCTCAATTTCTCAACCAACTCATCTTCAACAAAGACTCCACCACCAACCACTGGGGAAAGGAGAACCTATTCAGTAAATGGTGCTGGGAAGACTGGCTGACCACATGCAGAAGATTAAAACAAGACCCCTACCTATACACAAAAGTCAACTCTAAATGGATCAGAGACCTAAACGTAAAACCCCAAGCCATAAGAATCTTAGGAAATGCGGGAGACAGCCTTATGGAAATTGGAACTGACAACCAATTCCTGATCAAAACCCCAAGTACCCATGCCATAAGAGATGAGATAGACAAGTGGGACCTCATCAAATTGACAAGCTTCTGCAAAGTCAAAGAAGCCATCAAGAGAGCAGGGAGACAGCCCACAGACTGGAAAAAATATTTGCCAATTGTATATCTGACAAAGGCCTAACATCTAGGATCTACAAGGAACTCAAATGTGCCGAAAAGAAAAAAAAAACAAACAACCCCATTACAAAGTGGACAAAAGATATGAATAGACACTTGTCAAAATAAGACATATTAGCAGACAACAAGCACACGAAAAAATGTTCAGCCTCACTCGTCATCAAAGAAATGCAAATTAAAACCACAATGAGATACTACCCAACTTCGGTCAGGATGGCCATCATCAATAACTCAAAAACAACAGATGCTGAAGAGGATGCGGGGAAAAGGGAACACTTCTACACTGTTGGTGGAAGGAAGCATAAACTAGTACAACCTTTGTGGAAAAGAGTTTGGCGATTTCTAAAAGATCTAAAAATCAACCTTCCATATGACCCTGCATTCCCCCTACCGGGAATATACCCGGAGGAACTCAAATCCCTCTCTGAAAAAGATACCTGCATATGCATGTTTATTGCAGCATTGTTCACAATAGCAAAAGCATGGAACCAACAGTGCTGCCCATCGAAAAAGGACTGGATAAAAAAAAATGTGGCACATATACACGATGGAATATTACGCAGCCATAAAGAAGAACAAAATTATGTACTTCACAGCAACTTGTATGGACTTAGAGTCTATAATACTGAGTGATCTATCACAGAAACAAAGAACTGAGTATCACATGTTCTCACTCATAAGCAGAATTTGAATAATTATCATAATATTATAAGAAAAGGATTGGCAGTAGTGGGAATCTGCCGGGGTGGGGAGGCATAACTCATCAACAAGGGCATCTGCATAATGAGCTTTTGTATACCTAACCCTGAATTGTACCCCACATATTTAAAATATAAAATTTTTAAAAATAAAAAAATAAAAAGACATTTCCTTTCCAAAAAAAAAAAAAATTGTTTTCAATGTCCTTAGATTCCTATTTTGGAGCACTTCTTACCAGACCATTTTATTGTACTTCATGAATATCAAGAAGATAGGAGTAATAAATGCCTTCATCATTGGTATGAAGTATAAATAGTGTGAATCACATATGGGTACATTGCACCACTGGTGTTTTAACCGAGACTTTTTCAGACCCTTTATCACAGAATCCTGACATTTCAGGTAGGATAGAACCTGTTCAGTTAACCTGTCTCATTCATCTTGGTTTACAGATGAGAAACTGAAGTTGAGACGTGTTAAATGACTTAAACAAGGTAACATAGGAAATGTGTGGCCAAGATAGGACTGGAAAATGGGACTATTGACTGTTGCTGCTGAGTTCCCCACTCCAAACAAACTCAGTAAAAAGGGAAAAAACACATTTCTGAAATACCTGTTTACAAAGGGATTATTCTTTCAAAACAGAAGCAGATTTTAACCCACACAAAGTTATTTTAAACAAAGAAAGCTAAACATCTCATTCCTGGAGTAACTTTCTATAACTCTGAAATAACTTTGAAGAATGTGAGGTTGGCTGGGTGCGATGATTCAAGCATGTAATCCCAGCACTTTGGGAGGCCAAGGCAAATGAATTACCTGAGCCTGCGGGTTCGAGACCAGCCTGGGCAACTTGGCGAGACCTTGTCTCCACAATACATCAAAAAAATTAGCCGAGCATGGTAGTGCATGCCTGTAGTTCTGGCTACTTGGAAGGCAGAGGCGGAAGAATCGCCTGAGACCAGCAGGTCAAGGATGGGGTGGCCATGAGCATGCCGCTGCACTCCAGCCTGGGCGATGGAGTGAGACTCCGACTCAAAAAACAAAAGGAATATGAGATTAGGCATTCTGGGGATCTGGTTTCTGTGCCCAAATATTGCCCCAGCCCTCTTTTCTAATCCTCCATCTGCTCCTTCACTAATTTTGGGGCTTTGAGTAACTTTCCTCACAAAATCCCTGCACGTTTCCATTTCTCAACTGTAAAATGACATGATGGCACTGAAATGGGCTACTGTAAAGATAAAGTGATCCTGGTTTACGTGCAACTGTTGGAACAATGCCCAGCAATGGCAAGAGCTTGATAAAAGGTAGCTATTATTTTATTGTTAGAGTCCAAGGTCTTCTGTCTTGTGTTCAGCAGCAAATGTGGCCACATGAAAAGTTTATAAAAGGAATTGAATAAGGTCAGTGTAAAGAGCAAGGAGATAGGAGGTGGAGGCTCAGGGTACTGGCAGTGAACCAGAAAGAGGATTCTCTGGAGCTTTTAAAAAGTGTACAATTAAACAACTTTCCCAAGTTTCTGCAAACGTGTGATCTCATTCCCTTCTCCTTTGCTGTTATTCATTGATTTTCTTGAGAAATTTGTTGAGGAGAAGCAATACTTTTATTTACTTTTTGGCAGTTTCTCATTTCATATCTGCTATTTAGTTTCTGGACAAAGATCTATACATTTCATGTAGAACCCAGATTATTAATGTCTAGGTCTATAGAGATTATGGTTAGTCTCAGAATGCATTTTTACTGGGTCAGGTTCTGGTTTTATAAAAGGAATTGAAGAGCTGAGCCAGTTTTGACTCTTTTAGTTTATATATAACAAAATGACTTCATGTGTAAACAGTTAAAATGCTTGGGAGGATAATTGATCATTCGACTGAAATGGGACTAGTACTGCAAATGATATAAGTAAAGAAATAGTAATGAATAGGCTCTTTTCATAGATTGCATCTGTTAAAGTACAATTTTTCTCCTGACAAATGTTAAGATATTTACCAACAGTGGCCTTTTTGCTAAAAATTAAACAACTGCAATTATTTTTAAGCACAAAGAACAAATAAAAAAATAGGAGGTATGACAGAAAGCACAAGAAGACCATAGCAACAAGTGAAAAGCTCACCAATGTGTTCTTTGATTAAATTATTTCAAATGAAAATTGGAAAATTTTACTTTTTCCTAGAGTCTTTCTACCCCCCTTTTCCCCACTTCACTTTTAATAGAGTGGAGATAACCACTATCTTTGAGGATACATTCTAGGATATAGTGAAACATAAAAACAAATCATGCCCACAGAATCACCCAGTACATCTACAGGTACACAGGTAAATAACCTTTCACAAATAAAATATGCTGACCTAGTGAAAATGGGTGATTCTCCCTTTCTGTCTACCTATCTCCATCTGTCTCTAATCTATCACCAGAAATAAGCACCTTAATTAAAATGTGTTACAATGCCACGCATGCCAGCATTTTTCCTGTGCTGTAGTCCGACAGTAGCTAATGGTCACCAAATGCCCACAGTGGGACATTGGCTCTTCCTT